GACAAATGGCCACTTGTGCTCCCTCTTCCAACGGCCTTGAAGGATGTGGTTAGTTGTTCCGAGAGCAGGGCGTCTTGTCAGACCCGTGAATCACCCCTAGATCACTTCCCTCCTCAGAGAAGAAGCAGCTATTCTGGGGAGTAGAGTGCAGGGAGGGGGTGCGGGAGCCAGAGGGCGGGCAGGCCAGAGTGCCAGTCTACAGGGACACACGGGCACGAGGGCATCTTTTACACAAAGCTGGCTTTACCTGGACGCCTTTGCCCCGCGCCCAGTGACCCGGCCTTCTCCTCCGGGCCCCTACACTGCCAAGCCCTTGGGGGAGCCCTCCAGGCCAGAACAGCCGCACCTGGTTTATCTGGTTCTTTGGATGTTGGGAGTTTTCCACAGGGCCCGGGCCCCAGCTGCCCATCAGATGGCACCCACGGCCTGGCTCCAGTGATCAGGGGCACCGGAGAGAAACAGGAGGGACGAATGTCTGCGGGGGAGATTGGGGACTACGAAGAATTCTTTTGTTTCTTGTTTTGGGGGCCTGTCTCCCCCGCCGTGGTCAGGCGGCCACGGAAGCCCACCCCAACCCCGTGCCATGATTCTCAGCCTGGATGTGGGGATCCAATCAGGGTGGGCCACCTGCAAGGCCAGTCCCTCCACTCCTCTACTATCTCCATACTACTATCTACTATCGCCCCTCTACTACCTCTGAATTCAAAGTGCTGCCCAGCACTATCTCAGGTCCCTGGGAAGATGGGAAAAACTCCAGGGGAGGAAACTGAAGCCCAGAGGGAGAGGCCAAGGAGGCCCAGCTAGGAAGAGTCAGAGCGGAGATCCAAACCCCGTCCCATAGAGCATGCACCCCTCCCTAGGGAGAGGCCCCGGCTGAGAGCGAGGCAGAGACAGGAGGAGTGAACCCAGGGACTAAGGTCCACCAACTCAGGTCACCGGCCTGGATCATGCAAACCATCATCTGGGAGGAATCAATGAACACACCAGATTCTAGAATGTTCCCCCAAGGACAGGCCAGAATCTTGGATTTGTGCCTGGGCCACTGATTCACAGGGACCTCAATAACCGGCCTGGCACTGGCCTGCAGGGACTGTCCCCACAGTAAGGCCAACCTCAGTCCCCTGTTCTCTCACCGTCCTGCAGCCTGAGTCTGGCAACCCACACTCAGGAGAAGACGCGTCCCAACTGGGTAAGCTTTGGGAGACTGCCTCAGCCTCATGCTAGCGGGGGACCCCAGACAGTCCCACCTACCAGAGCCTCTGTTCCCCCATCTGTATTTAAGAAATCCAGGAACTTCTCATGGGTGGGGGGTGCAGGAAAGCCCACAAGGCCGCTGCTGGGTGCCCGGGATCAAGCTGTTACCTGCTACCTTCCCGTGTCTCCAAGGGTCACCGGTCACAGCTGGAAAACGCCGAGAGAGCATTACACCCCCCCAACACATGTCCAGCCTTTCTGGTCTGTGTCAGATAACAGAGCATCTTTCTCCACTGTCCACCTCGGGCCTGACAACAACAGCACCTCCACCTCTTTGCAAGCCCAGAGCTCAACCTCCTGGAAAATGTCACACACGCCAGTGTCTGCGCTTCGACATCTGCATCCTGGGGACATTTTGGGGGTGAGGGAGAGGGGGCCCCATCCTGCGGGTCTCAAGCAGTGATTCAATGGGGGGGCCCAGAGAACACTGCTTGGGGCAGTAGCGCCGGGTCCTGCTCCTTAGCCTCATATGGTCTCTCCAGCCCTATGGGGACTGTTGAAAAGATGGTCGGGGACTGCTGTGAGTTTATCTGAGGTGGCTCGTGTAAGCTAAGGCTCCCAAAGCACAAGAGCCTGTGGTCGAGGCAGGCACCCTGCATCCCCATGGCGGGGACGGACGTGCCCCTTGCGGATGTCCCAGAGACCCTTCCTCGGCAGCGTGCTCCCAGCATCCCGGAAGCAGGCAGAGCGCCTCCTGCTCCAGCCACAGGCCACTCAGCAGCTCACTCGGGCCACGGCACACATCCCGTAAAGCCTCTCCGCTCTTCTTCCATTTGCCAAACCACAGACTTGATGCTCACCATCCGAAGAGGAGAGGCAGGAAGGCGTGCTTCTCCAGGACAGAAGATTCCAGAACATGGGCAACACGGGGGCAGCATGTCCTGCCAGTTGCCCACACCAGAGGGCCTTACCCTGAACACTTGACCTTCCACGTATGGGGGGGGGGCAGTCAGTCATGCAGGGACCGAGCTTGGGAGGCTGGACTGGCCCCTCCTGCTCCATGCACCTCTGTCCACCCCGCCCCTCCCCCCAATGGACACACTTTATTACCAAGCCAGGCATAAATGACGCTAACGGGGAAGTCCCTCTTGCCACCCCCAGATACTTGTTTCCTCCTCAATCCCAACCAGACTTCGATGAACAGAGACCACACCCTGGGCAAAAGACCAGCGACACCCAGGGCCAGTGACCAGCTGTGTGGCAAGTGACTTTACTCTGTCTAGCTCTGCCTTCTCATCTGTAATATCACAGGCTAGAACCGCTGAATGCCTGGGGTCCCAGCAGGCGGGACACTTTCTCCTTTAACTGTGTTCTGAGCTCAGAGAGCAGTGTGGTCCACTAGGCAGTGGCACTTGCTCCCCGCCCCAAACCCAATGTGGATTCTTACGGGAAGCAGAGCTGTCCCAGAAAACACTCTGCCACAACCTGGAAGACACAATGGTCTCAAGGGAGTTACATGGAGCTCCTTGTCCCCTGCTCCCATAGAACAAAGTACTGTCAATCTCAACCTGCCCTCCCCCATCTTTTCTCTCTTTTTCCTTTTTTGCTGGACCCATTAATAACTGCTTTTCAAAAGTGCTGTCTTAGTCAGACTCTGCCCAGTAATAAGCCACCACTAAATAAGTACCTATTATGTGCCAAGAACTGGGGGAAGTACTTTACATGGGTGATCTCACTGAATCACCGCAGAACCCTGTGAAGTAGGTACTAATACTATATTCACTGTAAGAATGCCGTGCCCGAGGCCCAGAGAAGCCAAGAAACCTACTCAAAGCTCTGTGGTCACTTACTGACCAGGCCAGGCTCTGAATAACACTTTCTAGCCCAGTGCCATGGCGCCTGCCACCTCTCCTCCGTGCAGCCCGCACTGGACCCACTTGTTGCTTAACTCGGTGAGGCCTGCACTGCATTTGTGTTAACTGAAGCACAACCAAGTGTGAGCCACCGGTGGTACACACCGGCATCAAGGTGTCAGCTACACTCCGGCTTGTGGCCTGTGCATCCAAAAGTACAAGATACAGTCAGAGCTGCGGTCCGAGGTTCCACCTAAAATTTCTGGTTAGGAAAGCACTGGCTGTCACAGCCTTCTCTCTCTCTCTCTCTCTCTCTCTCTCTCTCTCTCTCTCTCTCCCCTTTCTCACTCCTCCCTCTCTCCCTCTCTTCCTCTGTCTCTCCCTCTCTCTCCCCCTCTCTCTTGCTCCCTCTCTCTCTCTCTGTCACACACACCACACACTCATGCACACACATACACACCTCCGCCCACACACTACACCCAGACACACATCACTCAAGAACACACACCAGATACACACAGACACTCATGCCAATATATCCCTCACGAACAGACACACATGCACATAGACACTCATGCACATACACCACACATATACACTCCAACACACATACAAACACACCACCCACACGCCACACTCAGACACACATGCACACACATCACTCACGCACACACACCGCCGCAGGTCACCACCCCCTCAGGACAAGGCCCCTGCAATAAGGTTCGCTCCTTCTGAATCTAGCCCAACCTCATTTGATCGCCAATAAAGAAACCCAAAGTTTGAAGTTACTGGCCAGGATGAGTCCCCTGAGGCTGGCCTTAACACCAACCCCAAACCCCTTCCACGGGGGACATAAAAGGCATTTTTATTTCCCAGGATCGATATGCGCGCAGGGCGGCCAACAACAGCCAGTTTTAATTGCTCAAAAGTAATGCTTTCGAGATGTTCCTTTGAGCGCCTAATTTGCGAGTAAGATGCAGCCTGCGGTCCCCAGACCAGCCTTGGGGGAGTCTCTTCCATCTCCAGCCCTGGAGCAGAGGCTCAGACGGCCTCCTCCAGCGGCCAAGGAAGGAGCTTCCCAAGGTGCTCGTGGTGAGGACACGGGGGCACCGACATGAAAGGGGGTCGGGTCAGCCGGACCCCAGCTCCGCTCAATCATCCTGAAGCCCCTTCTCATTAAGTTCGGTGGGGGAGGGGTTATCCCCGCAGCTCCCCGGGGACCCAGCAAACATTAGCAGCCGGTGTCTGGAGATGGAGCATCACTGAAGAGGAAATGAACCCAGGGAAGGGTCACGTCCAGCGCAGGGATAAAAGGAAAAGCCAGGATTCTCTCCTCACACCGATGGACACAATGACTTTCGGAAGGAAATCAAAGCTCAGGGCTGGGGGTGGGTGCAGCTGCGGGGAGGGCCGCTTCCCTGGGCCCAAGGGGTGCCCACGGCGGAGTCCAGGTGGGAGGGGGCGCCCGTCGGGAGGATCCGGCTTCGGGACCACCCCGATCCCGGGGCGGGGGCTTGGGGGGACAGAGGAGATGCTGCTTCCCCCGCGAGCCTCCCCGCGGCCGCTCCGACCTGCGCGCCCCGCTCCCCGCCCCACCATCCATCAGAGCTCTGGCGGACAGATGACTTCACCGGTTCTAACAGACAAGGGCAGCCACTTGCCAATTTCAATGCCAAAAAAAGAAAGCGGGGACGGGGGGAGTGGAGGCAGGACGGAAAAGGCTTCCACGGAGCTCACAGCCCGACGGAGCAACTCCACGGCCGGGCCCGGGGCTCCCCTCCGGACACTCAGCTCCGGGGCTGAACAAGGGGACACCCAGGAGGCCCTCCCGGGAGGGGGTCTCTGACCAGCCCACTCCTCTCCGGCATCCCCCTCCTTTCAACACACACACACACACACACGCACACATACACACACACACGCGCGCTGGGGGTCGGCAAGGGCTGCACTCACGTAGTGTTTGGAGGGGTTTCTGCGCTTCTCCACGTCCACCACCGTGGCATCCTGCACGCAGTAGGCGAGCATCTTCGCGCACAAAGCGAGTGGCGCCCCCCGGCGGTGTCACCTTCTCATCCCGGCCGCGCTCCGGGCGGCTGCTCCCCGCTCCCCGCTCCCCGGGCTCGGGGCGTCCCCAGGTACTCTCCGGCCGCGGGCTCCGTGCGCCCCGGGCGGCTCCGGGTGGGCCTGCCGCGCGCCCCTGCGCTCCGCGCCGCCGCCGCCGACCCGCCCGCCCGCGCGCTCGGCCGCCCGGAGGGTCCGGCGGGAACTGGCGGCGCAGAGGAGGGGCGGGGGTGTGTCCCGCCGGCCGGGGCGCGGGGCGGGGGCCCGGGAACCCGCTGTCAGCGCGCCGGGGAGGGGCCGGCCGGCCGCGCTCGGGCTCCGGGGGGCGCGGGCGGACGCAGTGGGCGCCGAGGCGGAGGCCGGGCCCGGCCGGCGGGGAAGCGGAGGGAGGGGAGAGGGGAAGCGCGGGGAGGGGCCCCGGGCCGGGGGAGGGGCTCGGCCGGCGGGGAGGGGGCTGCGGCGCCGCCCGACGGGAGGGCGGGCCGCGCGCCCCCAAGGAGCCGCGCCGAGTCCAGCGCGCTGCCCGCGGCCTGGCGCCGCGCGGAAACTCGGGGTGACTGCGGAGAGGGGGGGGGGAGAGCCGCGGGGTGGGCGCACGGGGAGCTCAGTGCGCCCCGCTCCCGGCGCACCCTCCTGGGCGACCCCCACCTTGACGCACCCCGGGATCTCGCCGGTGAAAGGGGGTTTGTTACCCCGGCGGGGCTGCCCGGGCCCTCCCGGAGGACGCGGGAACCGAGGCGGGCTGGGCGTGAAAGTGCTGACCGCCGGGACCGCTCTGGATCAACCACCTGCCTCCCCGAGGGTCACCGAGGCCGAGTGCTCCCCGGAAATGGGACAGATCCGCTCCCATCGATCCATCGATCGGGGCCCGTGTAAACGCGCGGTGACGTGATTTACCGCGAGGTTACCAGACTCAGGCCCGAGCACCACTGCTTTTAGCCCAGGGCTCCCCCGGGACGGTGCGCTGGCGGGCAAGGAGGGAAGGGAACACACAATGGTGGGAAAATCCACAGCTCATCTCTGGCCCCGGGCTCCAGCATTCCCACCGCCCATCCCTCTGATCTGGAAAACCCACTTTGTAAACCACTTGTCCCTCCCTGGACTTGGAACACAATTACTATTTGAATTCGATTCAGCTCCCTTTCCCATCCCCTCCCCCATGTGTGTCAACATTTTTTTCCCCCTTCTGCCTTCAAATATTTAACGAGGTAGTGGTATATTTTGCAATTAATGCGATTGTTTTCCCATCACAATAAAGCTTTGTGACTTCTGAAGTGGGGGCTAAGAGTTGTGTAATCTTTATTGTCTTTGTGTTTTCTCCTCTGTGTTATAGGGACCGAAGACCAGCCTTCAGCATGCTTCCATATTTGCTAAATCAGAGTATCAGCTATTCCCCCAGTCTTCTTGGGGAAGGACACTAATGCCATATGAAGGCTCCATTGAAATATCTGACTTGGAGCAAACCATTCCCACAGGCTTTTGAGTCTCCCAAGGCTCCCATTTGCAAAATGTGGATGAACTAGGTGTTCAAGATTGGTTCCTACAGCCACTGCAAACTCTTAGTTGAGGTGCTTTTGGAAACAGCCTTAAATTTTTTGTTTTTCTTGCTTAACACTGTATGGATTTTGATACTTAAAAACACGCACTTGGGGCTGGAGCAATAGCACAGTGGGTAGGACATTTGCCTTGCACGCGAATGACCCAGGTTCGATTCCCAGCATCCCATATGGTCCCCAAGCATTGCTAGGAGTAATTCCTGAGTGCATGAACCAGGAGTAACTCCTGTGCATCGCCAGGTGTGACCCAAAAAAGAAAACAAAACACGCACTTATAATTTTTTCTTTCTCAGCTGGAGATTTACTGTAGGGTTAAGATGGTCCCCCTGTGTCCTGCTGAGGTGAGCCCTGTTTTATCCCTTGTACTGCATATGGTCCCTGAGCACCACCAGGAGTGAATGCTGAGCGCAGAGCCAGGAATAAGCTCTGAGTTCAGCTGGGTGTCAAAAAAAAAATGCTTTTCTAGGGCTAGGGATGTAGCTCAAAAATAGGACATTTGCCTTGCCTGTCTGAGGTCCTGGATTCTGCCCCAGGGTTCTATTCTAGACACTAAGGGGGAAAAGTTCTCTAAAGACAGGATTTTAAGGATTCACTGAGCACACACTCTGTGCTCACTTACAGTGCATTAAGGGTCAGACAAGAGAATCAGAAAACACACTGTTTGTGGCATTGAGTCCAAATGGAGAGCTCCTTCCCCCTTCCTCGAAGCAGAGTTGGGAAGTAGGGGGGGTACCCTTAAAACTGCGAAAAAGGTGGAGACTTGGGGGAAATCCAGGAGTGCTTCATAGAGGAAGTTATTGACGTGCTGGGTCCCTAAGAATGGGGCAGCTCTGAGAGCAGCCTGGAACACTGTGCCAGCATGTGTGTCTATATCATACTCCGCTTCCTCTGAATGCACCTGGAGCGCGGAGCATGGCATCTTGTGGAGGGAGCCCAGCGCTGCGGGAGCCTCTGTGATCAGCCTAGGCACTGCTTCTCTCTCAGAGAAGGTGCTGGAACCTCGCCCCATATGGCCGTGGACTCCACATTCAGGAGGATGATCTGGCAAAGGGAGGAAGGAAGCCCCCAGACCCAGTCCCGAGCAGTCTCCTTCCTGTGGAGGTGGGAGATGGATCTGGGGGCCCTCCCAGGGCTGTGGGGGGGGGGCTGGGAGGGCCGCTTAGGCTGGGTGGGGACGGCCTGTGGGGTCCTGTCAGAGGGCACAGCGGGCCACAGGGCATTGGGAGGGGTCAGCCCTGCTCTGGTTAACCCAAGAGTCCCCCATGAGGAAAGCGGGGTTCTGCTTCCTGGGGCTCCCCTGTGAGTCTGAGCAGTTTCCCCAGGGCCCACACTGCACTCGCCCCTCCCCCCAGGAGAAGGAGGTGAAGGAGGCCATGAGGGGTACTATGCTGAGTCACCCCGCTCCAGACTCAGTACTGCACACGGGCACCGCCTCACCCAAACCGACAGCTCATAAGTCAAGGTCTGGCTGCACATTTAGAGTATCCCCAGGTGCTTCCCTGCTCTGCACAGTCTTAGTTGGAGGGAAGAACTGAGTGCCAGGCCCCAGACAAGCACCACAGGCCAAGATATCTGGGGGCTAGTTGAGCACAAGTTCTTTCTGCTGGTGGGGCTTGGGGGAGAATCTTCCTCTCCTGGAGGGACTTACAGGCGCTCTTTTCTTCAGGCATATTAATTTTACCCCCATGCCCATTTCTTCCTGCTCAATACCCACACTGCCCAGCACACTCCAGAAGTGACTGAGACAGACAAGGGACTGCTGGAAGAGAGGACTGTGCCTCATCCATTCAGTACCTCTCACACCCAGCGCACAGTAGGTCCACTGGCTGGTGGTCTGTGCCAAAAATGTCCTCCGATGGAGCCAGTGCTGGGGGATCAGATAAACCCCTATTTGGCCTCTCCCTGTCTCTGAATTGGAGGGTGGCTCGAATCCAAGGACACTGTGTGTGTTCAGATGACAAAGTGCAGTTGTAAAAAATATATTCCTTTAATGCTAAAGGCTAGATAAGGCAGAGAGGACCCAAAATAAAAAATGCCAACTGGGATAAGTGAAACTGATTTTTCACAAACAGGTCATGGTGGGGTGACTCAAACCACCCAGTTGAGAGGAGTCCCGGCCCCCTGGTTTCAGAGGAACAAACCAAGGCAGGGTCAGACAGACCAAGACAGTCTCTGGCCAATGGGCACCTGACGCGCGTGCGCGCAGCAAAACCACAGGCCCCTGTAGCTCTGTGGCACAGGTCCCAAGTCCCGAGTCCCGGAGTCTAGTTCTCCATTCACATAAGCCTGGCCCGAGACAACACACAGGAGGCGCAGAAAACTGTTGCATGCTCAGCAAAGGCCCAGACATCCTCCCTCCCTCTTCAGAATATTTCTGACAATTGCCATTTGTTGGGTTGCTAATCACACCTTGCCCTGTGCTGGCTACTGCCAAGAACCCTGACTTAGCTGTTTCACTGGTGTGGGACTTTGCTGTGCTGAGGTGCTGGTCTGCAGGTGCAGAAAGGTTGGGGATGGCTGCCTTAAACCCAGGAGGGCCCTGGTACCACCTCTCCCCTCCCTTCCACCTCCACCAAGACCCACAGCCTCTGCACCCACAGCACCACCCCTCAGGCACCTGAGCCAGGCCCGGCACTGGGGAACCCCGTGAGCGTTTTGAATCTCTGGAGTCACCATGAGTATGTAGACACGGCTGGTGAAAGGATTGCCTAAGGAGAGCCATCCGCGTGAGCCTCACCCCACCCGGATTCCCGTGACCTGGTGACCTTACAGTCCTTTTGCATGCCGGAGGTTTTGGTGATCTTTCTGGCCTCTGCCGTGCCCTGAGATGGCAGATAACCACTGCATAAAGCGAGGTCTAAGGCTAGTACTACCCAGAGGTGTGGGAATTTGAGTGACATTGGGGGCCCCCTTCTGGCCAAAGTGGTCTTAGCACTCTAACTGCCATCCGGGACCAGCCGCTTCCCTGAGGCTCCGGCTCCCTGGCAGGGGCCAAACCTGGCATGTGTAACCTGCCAGTCTACCGACTACAGCACTCTCATACTTCTCTCCCCTCTTTCTTCCCCTCCTCCTCCTCCTCCCCTGTCTCCATCGCGGTCTCCATCATTCTCTCTCGCATCAGCTCTGATGACTTCACAGGCCCAATAGATTTATGTCTGGGAGTGTCCCGAGGAAGGTCTGTCCTGAATTTGGAGTCGACAACCAGGCCAACTTCCCGCTCTCGCCAAAAGAAAGCAAATGTGTGGACCGGATGAGGGTAGCGGGTGACAAATGGCTGGAGTGCTTGTCTGCCACGTGGAAACCCCCAGTTGGAATCCCAGTTCTGCATGGTCCCCCAAACTGGGGCAGCTCTGCTGGGTTCCCCAAGCACTGCTGGGCCCACGTAGTACAAGGCTGAGTATGGTCAGACATATTCAGGGGACCCTTTGGGCACTGTTTGGGAGACCTCCAAGATCTAGGGTCAGGTAGATAGTGCAAGTGGTGGGACACAGGCTTTGCCTATGGAGGGTCCTGGGTTCAAACACTGACATCACATTCCCCCACGCCCTGAGCACCA